TGTCCGGTGTGTTCCTTCCCGGGTGTTCTTCGCTGCAGTCAGCTCCTTGGAGCATTTGGTAAGGCCCTTGGTCTTACATTCTGGAGGCACCGCTGGGATCCCCGGGTGTGCTCCACTCCAGCTCCTCGGAGCATTTGGTAAGGCCTTTGGTCTTACATTCTGGAGGCACCGCTGGGATCCCTGGGTGTGCTTCACTATAGTTAGCTCCCCGGAGCGTTTGGTAAGGACAGCGGTCTTATAGTCTCACCTCCCACCTGCTAACCTAACCTTGCTCTAACCCAAAATCCCTGGGCTCTGGTCCCAGCTCCTGCAGCCTATTTTGAAGGCACAGTCAGCTTCTGGAGCTGCAGGTACTAGGGCCACCTGAAATGTCAGATCACTAAGGAAGGTCACAACAAGCCATTGCCTTGGATATCTTGAGAACTTGGGCTCCTGGCCCAGCTGCATCTCAGGGCTGGTGGTTATTTTATTCTCCTCTCTCTTCCTTCCCTATGTGAACTCCCATACAGTGTCCTGCAATAAACATGTCTACCACCACCACCATATTACGGACACATCTTTACTTAGCACCTTAGGAGAATGGTCATGCTGGCTTTTGGATAAGCCAACACCAATGTGAACATAGGAGAAAACTTTGCCTCTGACAGTAACTCAGTCCCTTGCCTTTCCACAGGTCCCTAACTCTGATGGAGAGAGCAGGATGTGGAGCTCAGAACTCTTCCTTCTTTTATTTTCTACAGCCACCCTTGACTTGCTCTTGACCTGTTCTCTACTGAGGCTAAAACTCTTCCTCCTTCTTTTTAGATCTAGAGCTAATGTTTTCAGATGATATTTAACCAAATTCAATATCAAATTCAGACCAAAGGCCACACAGGTTCTCCCTCCTTCCATCCTCCTCTGGGAGGTGTCATCTGGGGGCTGCAGGGGCTGGTGCATCTGGCCCACATTTGGATGAAGTGCTGCATCCCTAGGGGTCACTAGTGTGGGGTTACCTTCTGACCTGAACCCCAGTTGCTGCCACAACAAATGCCTGAAGTCTTGCCTGGCCCCTGAGTCACAGGTCCACCACCCCACATCCACATATCCTGCCCACAGAGACCCCGAGTGGAGAGACTCCCTGAATCCTCCAGATCCTCTGTTCTCACAGTTGTGTGAGAATGGGACACAGATCCCAGCTGTTCTCAGAGCTCCCTCAACTTCCCCAAAGATTTGTATTGGCTCTCTCACACTATGTACCCCTTTCTACGCTGCCTGGTCTGAGGTCTGGGGCCAGGAACACACCAGGCAGTTTCTAAATGCTCTGCCTTCTGCCTCCTTTCCAGGATGAGAAACTCTTAGGGTCATTTCCCATGTGCTTCCCAAGGGATTAAAACCCTGGAACAGAACTTGAATCATCTGAATCCTCAGTGGCCTTTTCCCTTACTGTCAACCACTACCAAGTTTAGTGACATTCACTGTGGGACAGCCACAAGCCCAGTCCTTGGTGCAGGCATTTTAACAATGGCCCATGTCAGTCCTCAGCATCCTATGAGGGAGGCATGCGTGGACCAGGAGGCTAAAAGGTGAACGACCAGAGTCAGGAGTAGCTTTGCTCTGCCCACCACCTGGTGCTCTCCTACGGATGTTGAATCACGGGCACCCTTTGGGTCTGGGCCCCTTGGGGGCTCTCAGGGCCTACTCAGCTGTGGGGCTTACCATGCCTCCAGAGCACTCCCGGCAGTTGTGCAGGCAGCTGATGTTCTCCCATGTGCTATAAGCCTTCAGCCCCACCACCAGGGCCTGAAGCAAGTAGCTATTGACAAGCTCTTTGCCCTGGAAGATCTGCTGGTCCAGGAGGGGCCCAGCATACCTGCAAGACAAGCAGAGATGTGTAATGGGTGCAGTGATGTGCCAGCCCATATGGGAAGGAGCATACTAAGGGGCAGTGGCTTGCTGGGATCCTAGGAAGACCCCAATTACCTCCAAGGCTTCATAGTCTCCTCAAAGTTGTCATCCTGAGCCACAGACAGTTCCACAACCACAACTTTCCACCATCCCATCCTCCTCTTGGAAAACCTCTCCTTCCCTTCCTGCCCATGTTTACTTTTTTGCCAGTCCCTCCATAGGCCTGATTGCTCAAGTTGTAATCTGTTTTGGCACCATGTTCTCTTCCACTTTCGGTCTACAAGTATAAGATTGTATTCCAAATATTTTCTTCTTCTCTATGCACACACACAAAGTTTCACATTTTCTGTCACGTATCTGTCATTTTTTAAATTTTCATTTGCATCAGAAATTGTGAAATGGACTATATACTGGGCAGAAAGAGGTCCCCACAGATGTCCACATCTATTCCTTGGAACCTGTGAGGGTGCTACCTCGCACAGCAGAGGGATTGGCAGATGGGATTAAATTGAGAGCCTTCATGGGTGTGATGGTGGATTACATAGGTGGGCCCAGCATAATCAGGAGGGTTCTTATAACTGGGAAGAAGGCAGGCAGTGAAGAAGCAATCAAAGTGATGGGCATGAGAGAGCAAATGGACACTGGTGGCTGTGAAGATGAAAGGAGGAGATGAGTCAAGGAATGAGATGGCCTTGCAGAGCTCAAAGATGCAAGGACATGAATTCTCCCTAGGGCCTTCAAAGGGATGGCAACCTTGTTTACACCCTGATCCGAAAACAATGAGATACATTTTAGATGCCTGACTTCCAGAACTGTAGGGTAACAAATTTAGGACACCAAATTTGTGACAATTACAATAGTCCTAACTTCATAAGTTTTAGATTGTACACCATTCTTAGTAGCATGATGTCTCATACTGTCTCATTCCATTCCATCTGGAAAATGAATACTCCCTTTATCCACATAGCCACACTGTGTACACTGGGCACTTTTTTTTTTTTTTTTTGGTACCAGTGATCGAACTTGGGTCTTTAGCAGCAGGCGGCAAAACCACTGAGCTAAATCCCCGGCATTGGGCACTTGTTAATCATTTAGTAGGTTTCTCAGTTACCACATAAATTGTCACAGTATCACAGTACTTGTGTTCAAGTGCCTCTACATCAGAGTCTAACACTGTATTTAGTCCCTAACTATTCATCCCACCTCATCACAGGAAGAAGGGTGAGGACAGTGCAAGGAGATATTTTGAAAGACAGATTAAAGTCATATAACATTTTTTATAGTATAGTGCTATAATTGTTCTATTTTATTATTAATTACTATGGTTAATCTTACTATGCCTAATTTATAAATTAACCTTTATCATAGGTAAGTACAGGAAAAAAAACATAGTATATAAGCCATGATACCATCTGTGGCTCCAGGCATACATGGGGGTCTTGAAATGTATCCCCACAGACAAAGAGGGACTACTTAGGAACAGCAGCAGTACAAAACCAACACAGATTGTGAACAGTTTCTTTCTTCAAAATGGTGTCACTGTTGTCCATTTTTTAACCCCTTAGGGTACAACTACTATGCAGTGTGTACGGGCGTTCATTTCCCTCCATATGTCCTCCCCCCTTCAGTTCTGATTTTCTTTGCAATAGTCCAAAATGATGTCACTGGAGGGTTCTGCTTTCCCTCTCACTCCCTTCTTTTGAAAGCTTCCGATTAGTCTTGTTTTAGAGTCTCTTTCAATGAGTAATTGTTTTTAAGTAATTCCAAGAGCAAAATTTTTACTGAACTATTTCTATGTTCAGTCAAACTGTAGGACACAGAGGGAGCCCAGGACTAGGTATTAAAGTCAAGGATGCTCAACTTCCAAGGACTTAAAACTCATTGAAAGGATCCAGAGGAGCGCATGGGATCCTAGTCTTCACAACAGAAGCCCTAGAGGTCGAAGATTGAAAAGAGAGAAGATGTTCAGAGGTGTTGATTCACTGATTGCTCTTCATTGGCTGAGATGATTATTTTTTTCCTATATAATATTAATATGGTGAATTATATAGATAGAATTAAGATGATCAAACATTTCTGAGGTTAAATCCCATTTGGCTGTTGTATATAATCTTTAGTATTTTTTTAATCCATGTGATTTGTTAATATTTTGTTCACAAGAGATACTAGTCTTTGTTGGTTTTTGGTATCTGGTAGTATTCCTAAAATGAGCAGGTAAGTTTTCCTTTTGCCTTTATTTTCTGAAAAACTTTGCATAAAATTGATAGTCTTTTCTTAAATATTTAATGGATTTTACCAATAATATTAGATAGGGATGTCCATGTTTTCTATTTCTTTTGATTCACTTTTAGAACTATACCTTGTTCAAAATTGTTTCTATTTTCAAAATGGAAAAAAAGATGATTCTAGGTTAATTACTCTTTGGATGACACTAGCTCTCAGCTGTGCCCTTTTAGGAGGGTATATCCAGCAGCCCCACCTATGCAAGGGACATCTGTCTCCGTTCTTGGAACAGAACAGAACTGTAAATGGGCATCTGGATCATTAAAGTAGGTCCTTACATAGAAACTTTGGCAGTCCTAGTATTTAAACTGTTTTGAGGATCAAAGTTTTGGTTGTCCTTGAAATGCTTTGTCATAGTTTTTATGTTTACTATACTGCCAAATAAATGTATATCTCCTGAAGTTGAGATGCAACAACTAAGTAAAGCAATTATGTATGTTTATGTGAATGGGTGCACAGGCTGATACATCTTGTAAATAATTCTTCTGAAATCAAGTATTTAAAGCAGTTTTAAATATACATTATGTAAAAAGGTAATTTTTAAGAGCAATTTTTAAATTCATGTGTATACATTCAGAGGAGTTTTTTTTCTTAAATTCTTTTATTGGTACATTTTAGGTATACAACACAATTACATTTCTCATTGGGAACTTGTACCTTTACATGATGCATCTTGGTTCTTATTTTTTCTCCATTCCTAGCCCT